ACTTCAGGGCAAAGGCAAACAGGCATAATTGTTGAGTCGTAGTAACCAAAAGTGAATCATTAAGAGTCAACCAGTAGCTTTATATTAAAACAGAAGTATTCTGATCAAATTTTGAAGTGGCATAGAGTTGTTTCATGATTATTCTCCTTATTTCCGTCTGTTGACTGGAGAAACGTTTGTGTGTTTGAATATTATCGGCCCGCACTTCACTTTCGAAATTCGTCGAGTAAAATATAGCATTTATATGTTGTTCGTTTCAAGTCGAAATCTCTTTCAATTAAAAATATCATGAAAAATACTGCATTTATCTGCACTTCTGCCGGTACAGTCATTTGGAAGACTATTCATGCTCAGAAATGTATCTCTCATGATTCAATTTGTTTGTCACTGTCGATAATCGTGTGCTATGGGATCAGTGAGACGACTTGTAATACGAAGTATACGGAAATCTCATACTATCTTTGTAATAATGTGTATAAAACTGAGTGCATATTGCTCTGTTCACACTATCGCTTTGGCACACATCAGCTTTTACAAGACACTATTAATTAGGACGAGCGAACACTGACTGTATGAATAAGTGGAAAAGAAACGACTGTACAAGTTCATTTGATACTCAGTAAAACGGTTATATCACGGATCTCACGGAAATTAGATCCTCGGTTATATTATCTGGAGCTAAATTTATCAAGGAACAGGATGAATACGTGTCCTGATATCAGGTGATTTGCAAACCAGTAGCCTACGGTAGAGTAAGGGTTTCCTAATTTACCATTCGCATTAATTCATGGAACTGAACACTAGAAGGGGATGCGAGTCGGTCTTTGCCTCTCGTTGAAAAAATCACGCTCGAAAATTACTTCCAGTTAACAAGCCTGGCCAACAAATAAAGTGAGACGGAAAATTCAAACTTGGCTTATAAAATGTGCGGGGATGCTCAGAAGGCTCGAAACGACATCTGATATTGAACCAACTGGCTGGACGGAAGTATCACATAACAGTCAACCAGTCAGTCAGTAACAACGTAGAACTTCGTACGTACGTACATCAGTTCGAGTTGCCACACCACATAAGCACAGAAATGAAGTGGCCGATTCAGATCCCGTAGTGCTAGATGTAGCAAAATTATAAGCTGTAATCAGAAAAATTAGGGTTTGAAGATGTTATCACATAACAATACTATTAGAAACCTAGTTTTCATAGAAAGTAGTCGAAACAGATGAAAACATCGCATTATACAACTATAACCTCGATGTTATCGGCTGCGAAAACACTGGAGTAAGACTCATAGTGAGATGGTAATTATTCAAGAGTAATCTGAACTGAATATCTAATACGCAATATTGAACAAAGCCATTACTAATAAATGTTATTATTCACAAACAGCTTATTAGAACATACGTGTCATAGTGAAAGCATTTTGGGTTTCTTCAAAAATGCAACTTTATACAAGTTTCAATAATACGTGTATAACATTCACCATATCTAAACAGGTTCTGTGGAATTTAGAAGAATATTGACTTCAAAAACGGAAGAAAACACATGTAAGAAACGTGAAATGCGTAAATTATCTAATGATACAACGTAGTCGGCTGCTATGCATCACAAAATTTTGGACTGGAGAACAAAATGCAACATTCTGTGTATTGGTTAAAATACGATTCAAAGATTATAAGAATAAAAAATTCCTACAGAGTTCTTGAATAACTTCGACTCTGTAGAAACCTATATGGTACCCACCTCCATGTAATATGAAAATACGTAAATATTGAAACAGAAACTTCACACAGTGGAATAAGTGTTGTAGAACTTAATAGTAACAATAACAAATAAAAAATCATGAACACCTTGAAAACAGACAACCAAGCGTAACACCTTGATATATCTGGCTACGCTCAAAGCCAAACTGAGAGTAGAACAGACCTCGAAATCCGTGATCTTCACGTAAGTTAATTAGCGTATGTAAATCCTAACTACCACTTATTAATGGCTGCTGCTAGAATGAATAATGAAAGGAATTAGAAGCATCAGTGGTATCACTAGAAGCGACGAATAATAGCCACAAACTCGACGGCTTATGCAAAAAAATCAAACAGGAAACCTGAAGGACAGCTTTTATTTCAAAAAACGTAACAAACCATATTGAAAAGCGTGATTCGACTTTCCATACAAGCTAGGATGATACTCTCCAAACATATTTGGGCGAATTATACTAACCCCACATCAGGATAAAAAGGAAACAACAACATCACAAACTAATAAAATATAGAGGAGACAAACTTAAAACATTCTCTTAAGAATAATGAACCAATTCCGGAATAACTCAGAGAATTTCACGCCGCTACATTGATGCGAATGTTATCAGCATCTACAAACATACTGATACGAAAACAGATTCAAACAATTAACAGAACACATTCATGCTGAGCACCAATGGTAAAATCTCCGAAGGAACAATATGCCCACCACTTGCCAGAATAACAGATCTTCCCAAACCAACTGTCTGCTTGAAGACCAGAAAACAGATGACTCTGTAGAGGAGGAAGAAGTGATTAGACAAACTATCAACTGCCTCTGTAGCAATGAAAACGGGACTACAATGCAAACTATGAGGTGTGAGAAACATGTGACTTCGGATATATTTGAAGATCGTGGTCCTCAATGAACATGGCTATCGCTCTGTATCACGAATATCACGGACAGGATACTTTTCCAATACGACGAGGTACACAAAACATGAGGTGGAGTAATGACATATATTAACAGTTACTTCACAGACGAAACATCACTCAATACCGAATTAACCGACGTGGCGGAGTCTCGCTGGTGTTGCTTTGATGAGAATGCCATTAGGTAATTGATTGTAAAAATATACAGACTCCCACAGGTTCTAAAACCCACAGTCGTGAGATAATACATGGAATACTAAAGCTACTATGCTCAAGGTTTGACTAAATACTATTAGCAGCAGACTTCAACACTTCACCTGTCAAGGGAACTGAGGTGTTGACACCATTAATCTTGTTTGGTCATGCTAACATCCCGCTTTCGAGCACCAGAGAGTCCGTGATTGCACCGTGTCCGGGATTTGAAATTCATGGTCGGGTTCAAGAGTCAGTGAGAATAACTAACGAAAGTGTGGAAAACATTAATCCTTATTATTGATATATAGACTTTTGTTATTGACATCATGCTAATATTATAACAGTATATGAACCTGCTGTAGTTGTTAAATAAACGAATCTCTGTATAATCTTTTGTTTTCCAGTTTTGTTTGGCGGTCGGTGATCGTAATATTGTTTCATTCTCTATAATGATGTGGATACTCTGACCGCCACACCGTCCCCAAATATAATCAGATAGGATATAAAAACTACAGGGTGGTCCCATAAGCGAAAGTTCGGGAGTATCTGAGCTTGTGGGTGGCGTTGTGAGATGGGATAGGAAGGAAAAACCTTCAAACTTAGATTTTTACAGACAAATGATCAGCTTCTAGTTGAGTTTGTCAGTGCCCACTTTCCAGTAGGAGGTGGTGACCATGGTGCAGTCATGTCTGACATGATCACAAACGAGATGCCTGGTGAGGACAAGGATGCCCATTATCTTACTATACTAAGACAGACTACATGACTACGAGGAAGGATCTGCAACATGCCTCTTGGCCACATATGATGAAGGCTAACTTTGGGTGGCCACTGGAGGATAGTTAGAGACATCATTCAGAACGTTATCCAGCACATTGTACTCCTAACCCAGAATATCGCTACAAATTCATGACCAAAAGAAAGGCTACACCCCAGTAGACTTGCGCCCCTAAAGAGACGAACGAGGAAGATCTTGCTAACTTAGAAAGGGAATAGATTTTTAATGCCGACTTCATGGGCCGGTGAAACCAGGTATATGCAAGCACGGAATACTTCTCAACTCTAGTTCTATTTAAGGGAATAATCAGGTAATCCCTACGTTAGTATTAGGGAAACCAAACACTTTGCACCCAGAAAAGTCACCAGGATTTGAGAACATACTCCCTATCACACTGAAACAGTGCGCGGATGCTATCAGGACGCGATTGTGTGACACATTCAGGCGCTTATTGGAGTCACGCCAACTCCCAAGATAATGGAAGCAGGCCACTTTCTCTCCAATATTCGAAGGAGGGGGTAAATAAGACCTAGCCTGTTATAGACGGATCGCATTACCCTCACCACTGTCAAAGGTGATAGAGCACTGGCCAGTGAACAAATGAGAAACTACATGGATATAATCATATTTAGGAAGGGCAGGTCCTGTGCATTTTCCTCCGTCTTCCTAAGGAATAACAGTTGACTAACTTACTTGTTATTCTTGGAACAATCACTTCGTAGCGGTAAGTAAATCCACAAAATAAACAGTTTTGTAAGTCTTCGAGATTAGGGTGCCAACCTGATTAGTTTTAGTGGACACACATCCTCACCAGATCACGGGTGGCTATGCTGTGCTACACATTTCTTACAACCGTGAACCAGCCTTGATTAATTGCTTCTCCAAATATCGATAGCCTCCGGATAATGCTCACTGGAAACCGCTGTAAAGCTTACTAGGACGAAAAGAAGTGGGCGCAAGGAAAACGATCGGTTTATACAAGTTCTTGCGATTTACTCACCTCTACATTTAAAACAATACCTGGAACCCGTTACACGCATCTTCATTTGGCTCATTCAAGAGAAGATTGGACACACACAGAAGCATACTAGCAAACGAATAACAAAGGCCGTTGGCCTTCTGTCCTTACTGCACAAACCTGAATCTGAACAAGGCGTTTGGATATTCCGAATCACCACACTGGAACTAGCTGAAGATGTAGATGTTTTTAGTGGATGTTAGTAGTCTATTCACAAAATCAACCAGTTTATTTTATTTCCCTAGAAAGACACTGGGTGCTGAAATTACACAGGTTGGTTTGAAGTGTGCGTTACAAAGCTGGTTTGTTGTTGGACACTTTACACGTGCATGGCTGATGTATGCCATCCCTGTGTATTATTTCTGTTTACGGTGACAGCTTTCGTAACCATACTCTGAAGGCGGATGTCGATGGCTTTTTGCTTGAAGATTTAAATATGACAGCACAAAATCATGATGAGAACGCTCCTCTTTTAGGAGATGTTAGTGATAACTTTTCTCCTGATTCATATTCACCACTTGTAAACGAAATACATAACGATTCAGACTTCAAAAATGTTTTACAAAGTGCTCTTCAAGCTATTGAGTCTGGAATATTGCCCGAGAGAATTTATCAAGGGTCAAGTGGAAGTTACTTTGTTAAGAATGCTAATGGAGTATGTTTACTGTTAAAAATCTTGTTTTTCTCCCTAACTTCGTGTCTAAATTTCCATTATTTGAGGCAACCTTTTCATAAGAAACATGGCCTATCTGTTGTATTCGCAAAATTAATAGACCCTACATTGAGTACGAATATTACATATTATACAATGGTTTCCTAATAATAGAAGTGTGGTATAATCTGTCTTAAATGATGCAGGCAATTATAGTCTTGCATTTGGGGGGATTTTATTTTTACCAATATCCCTGTGGTTCTAAGTATCTTATTAGCCTTAGTAGTTCGCATTTGCGGTTATTTAGTATACTTCTCTTTATTGCTTTGTGATAGCAGTTTTTGTTTCTCACCTATCGCGGTTTTGCACATAAAAAATGGGTGCGCAGTTTCAGGATTTCAACTCGGATTTATCTGTTTATGAAATATGTGATGGTTTTAATGAGATCGATTGTCTCTTGAAAAGTAGAGATGGTAAGTAGTCAATGCTCTAGTCGAGAGACTAATAAATGTGGTACATTAGGTCTTGCTATTGTCCTCTATTCTATCCTTGTTATTATCTCCTTAACTTTGGTGATGGTTGGATATGCCACTCAGGTTGCTCAAGGGCAGTAAATGGAGTGTTATTTCAAGTTCGTCGATGTGTTCCACAAAGTGACCCATTAACTTTATTTGGTATGTGGTCAATGACCCATGTTCTCTGCTAATAGTTGCCAGACGTAAGGGTTAATGAAACGGGAAAATATGTTATGTTCAGTAGTTATTAAATTTTTCCAGGAGTATTAATCTGAAACAGGTTTTAAAGTGTTTTGCGTTGATAACTAGGGAATTTCGCATATTTTTATTTGATGACTTTCTAATTAAGAATATTTGAACAATTACCACCTTCATTAATTACAAGATAAAGTAACGTAAATATGCCCATTTACTCAGATATTAGTTCTTACTCTTCGGATAACAGATATAACCAAAGTATTAAAAATTGTAACCCACTATTATTTTATGTACATCCTCTCAACATTTTAGTTTACATTTTACGTTCGTTACCGACAAATTACTTGAAAACGCACACTTTTTTTAGGAGAAAATTGCAGTATTCAAACCGAAGGATGAAGAGCCCTATGGCAAGCTTAACCCGAAATGGACCAAATGGATGCATAAACACTGCTGCCCTTGCTGTTTTGGTCGATCATGTTTGGTTCCAAATCAAGGTTACCTTTCAGAGGCTGGTGCCAGTCTTGTAGATCAGAGACTACGGCTCAATATTGTTCCTAGAACAAGAGTTGGTTCTTGTTTGTAAATTATTCATAATTGTATTTTTTCCTGGTTGTAGTTATCAAGATGAAATGTTAGATAGTTTCTATGAATTACATAAAACTGTATTTCTAGTCAGTCGGTCACAACATACAACCTGGTACGTATGTACATCGGTCCAAGTTTCCATATATAATCACAAAGAGATGGAATTGTCAGGCCGATTCTCAGAATGGTAGAGGTAGTGATAGTATCAATGGTAATAGGAAAGATTACGGATACAATTGGCGAAAACATACATTACTGAAATAAAAACACACAAACAGTCACGAAGAATTTAGAATCTCAGAATTTGAGGAGAGATAACGAACGGATACACAAGCTCAATCGCAAAAGATTTTGAGCCATGTCATTGAAAATCTCTAACCATTGGTTATAATAATCACACAGACCCGAACCAGGTAGTCTACACCTATTAACATGGCTAGGTTCAATTGTCAACGACTTCATGGACTGATGCCATGTTTTGGTAGTCGAGAATATTGATGTTGTCTAAGAATTTAATTCAACATTAGCCGTTTATCCCTGTTATGGAAAATTTTTCGCCAAGATGTTAGACCGTAGTAACTTTCTTAAGCTAAGAAGATATTATTTGGCCTTATACCTTGATATTTTTCATTTTTTTATAGTATTAGATTAATGACTTTTCAAGTGGATTCCATTATGTTTAAAATTGTTGATAACACCTAGTTCGTAACTCCATTTTTCTATTCTAGGTTGTTCGTTTAGTAAGCGAAAGCTTCAACTACAGCACAGTTGATCGCGCAAAATCTAGGACTAAACAACACTTTGCTTCACGGTTCCCCGAGTTAGGTCGTCATTTCAACCGTCTTGGGCTTCCTCCAAAAGTAAGTTTCTCTTGATACGTCAAAATGAATATGTGAATGAAAAAATTATTAATTCCAAAATCTCATCTTTTGATAGATGTGATATTAATTATTATCGCTTGAACTAGGATTTAGTGTCGCGCTTTAAGTCTGGTGGGTTGCTGTTTTTATTCCATAACCCTTCACGTCTTGTCGTATCAGGAGGTAGTACAATGAAGAGGAACATTTTTTCTTAAAAAATTGTAATTTCCAATAACTTACGAGTTCGCACCTATGAACAAATTCAATCAACAAGAAGTATCTGGCGATAACTAATGAGGAGATAGAATAAACCTGGTTAATTTTAATATCTTGGTTTTATTTCAAATAACTCATCACATTTTTCTAGCTGAGTTTTTGAATCCTTCAAATTCGTATTTTCCCTTTTCATTTTGAAAATAAGACTACTTCACTCACCATTTTGTTATACTGTAGTGGATCATTATGATCTTTTTCATCTAACTTTTTTTACATTTAAAGACAGGAACTATGACATCAATTTTAGGGTAGCCATCAGCTGTTTGGTTGCAGAACACTAGTTTTTCAATTACGTTACTCATTACGTTTTAAACTTTTGTTCCATATGCTCACATTGTCTTATGAACTATATCTTCTTGAATATGGACATATTTATCAAAATTTAAGTACTTGCTAGAATTTAATTGGGATTTTTAGTAGTGGTTGTGTGTCAGTCGTATATTTTATCTATTTATACCTTGTTTATATTGTGGGGAACCATTTGTCCCCAAGCTGTCATGTTCGTGATAATTCTTATGTAAGGGCTTAATGGACATTTAACTGAAGCTAAACAACATGTGCCTGTAGCATACATGATAGTTGTTTCTGTCTGTCCGTAAGACATTCAATTGAGAATTGAGTTGGCTACTTGTAAGTGTGGTCAATGTTCACTGCCAGAAATAAATCAACTTGTTCTCCAGAACATTTTACTGACTATCAGTATGTGCTATTATCTTGATCGTAGATTTCAGATTTTTGATTGTAAATTGTCTTCGATAAAATTAACCAAACGCTTACTTTAACCCTTAGGAATATACAATGTTCATCGTTTATTAGTCAAGTTCCCTGCCACAACAATGTTATTTTTAGGACCTCTTATTATAACCCATCTGTTCTTATTGCTTAGTATTCTTCAGACACTACTTTAGTCGATTAGTTCCCAATTCAGAACGCGATTGAATAGGAACGTAGTTATATTCCAAATAAACAGGGTTAAATGGGAGTATGATTTACGGTAAGAAACAGGTCAGTATATTCATAGTTTTACAAGAAAAGATCCTATAGTCTACTCCAATTTTCCTCTGGCACTGATTGGGTAAGAAGTGACTAATCAGCGCGTTGTATTTATTATATATTTGAACACACATTGGTACAAGGGGGCACCGAATACATATGCACCACACAATAACATTGAGGTCGTGAAGAGACAGAGAATGTAAAGTGCGTATAATAAAAAGAACAACAAGAACAGAAATTAGTGTATGAGAGTGAAATAATAACAAAAGGAGAAACAGTTCAGTTAGGAAAAATACAACCAGAAAGAATTCTTTCAGTTACAGAAGTTACTTTCACTTTTATGAAGAAAGTGAAAGTTACAGCAATATTGCCACTGGCTTCTATTCTGAGCCATGCCTGATAACATGTGTTGCCACTGGATGTCAGCAATCCTTCGGAGACAACGATGATCAAACATAGAGAGTCGTCTAACATCCTCAACTCGAAGAGTCCAGGTTTCACAAACATAGAGCAAAACTGCTCTCACCACAGCGTCGTGGATCCAACCTTTTACAGTCAGACTAATATCACGAAGCCGAGAACAGGATTTGAATTCTGCCAGTCTTGTAGAAGTACTTTGCACTCCGAAGGTGCGAAACACATACCATATCTACGGACACTGATTGCCAACTGATTAAGTGCGGATTGCATGACTTGGGTATTATCGCACAATAAGACAATATCATACACACACTCGAGGTCGAAAAGTCTTTCTCCAGCCAACGAATCCACACCGCCATTACTTACATCCATCAGAGCTGTTTCCAGAATCTCATCGATGGCAAAGTTGAAGAGGAATTGTGAGGTTGGGCAACCCTGTCTAACCCCATTGCTTGGATGGAACAATGGAGGGAGGTGGTTGTATGCCCTCATTCTACCTGAGGTGTTTGTATATAGGGCCTTTAGGATGTTAATAAACTTCTCAGGCACACCCTTCTTCAACAGACAATCCCAAAGAGCAGTCCTATCCAACAAATCGAAGACAACCCTGATGTAAAGAAACATTACGATTGTTGGCCTTTGATAAGTATGACGGTGTTCTAACATTTGGCGGAGGGTGAAGATATGATCAATACATCCTCGACCGGAACGAAAACCAGCCTGCTCCTCGCGAGTCAATCTTTCTCGGGTTTTGAATAATCAACGAAGTATGATGGAAGCAAATAGTTTGGACGCAATCGGAAGTAGACTTATCCCCCGATAGTTGTTACAGGAACGAGGTGAACCCTTTTTAAAGATAGGGACAACTATCGACTCATTCCATGACGTTGGTTAACTTTCTAGCTCCCACACCTTTGTAAACAACTTCGTCAGTCCCTTAACCAGAAGGTCCCTACTATCTTTATAAGGGTCGTAGTTAAGTCACCTGGGCCTTATGGTTTGTAGCTTGCTCCAACACAATCCTGTACGGAACGTGCTTTAATCCAATCTATATCCAGCTAACGATTATATACGCCTTAACTATTTGCATACATATGTCCGGCGCTTTAACCGGATCCCAAACCAATGTTGCACATGAGCTCCAGTATCCTGCGCGAAAAAAATGGAGTATGAACCGATCGTTGGTCACTGGCTACCATGGGACGGCATCTCCTCACGATGCTCCACTGCCTTGTGGGTTAGACCTTTAGGTCAAAGGTTCGGGGTGTGGCCCCCTAAGAAAACCACCCGCTTCGGTCTGGGCGCCCGGGCAGTATCACAGCCCACACACAAATAAAATGAGAATGACTATATTTCCTGAAAATTATATTCTCGCTTGGATTTACAGACAAATAATTCACATTATTAGTATTGTTTACTACGTCATTTATTCACTCTCTTTTATTCCCACTTTCTCTATCCTTAGTTTTCGAATCATACAGCAGCTCGCCTATGGTGGAAACTCGGTTCTATCTAAACGTTCTCGCGTCATTTCCTAGTTGAAAATTGTGTGCTACCACCAAATACGAATACTGAAGCAGTTTTTCTAACACCGCGTGCACCATTCAAGCTGACTGCCTTCAACGTTCGCACACTTATGCAGGTTGGACAACAGATAGGGCTGACTGTGTCTTTGGAAAGTCGTAATATCGACGTTTGTTGTCTATCCGAGACCTGTATTTAAGACTCTGGTGAAGTACTACAAATTCTCTCTTCATCTGTCACTTCAAAAAGCTTGTTTTACGTGCGTTTATCTGAGGTCACCGTGGCATTTTCGTCTGGTCTTGTTGGTTTTGATGTCGCACTAAGCGCTAGAGCTGAGGCAGCACTAATCGATCGGATCTCCATTAGCAATCGATCATGTGCTGTTATTTTAGAGGGTTCCATCAAAGTGAGAAGAAATCGGCGTGAGAAACGATATCTTTTCATCATCCCCGCCTATGTCCCAACAGATTGCAACCTGAATGCAATCAAGGATAAATTCTACCACCAATTAACTTTTCTTCTCCAGAAAGTGCGTTCGACAGATATTGTAGTTCTAGTCGGAGACTTGAATGCTCAGGTTGGGCGTCTAGGCACAGAAGAGAGTCGTTTAGGTGGCCGATGGGGACTTGTTGGTCGCAGGACAGATGACGGGGACCGTCTACTGCAACTTTGCACAGACCATAACCTGTTTCTGGCCAGCACTAACTTTCGACACAGTCATCGCCGACGTGCCACCTGGCGTCCTCCCTCTGCATCTCAAGCCTGGACTCAGATTGATCACATCGCGATCAGCTACCGCTGGCGTGGTTGTGTACAAGACTGCCGCTCCTTTTGGAGTACTTATCTGGACTCTGATCATGCTTTTAACATGGCGACCCCCTAATTCGTCCCAACGTTGGACCCAAATAGATCACATCGCTATCAGCCACCGATGGAGGGGCTCGATAGAAGACTGTCGCTCATTCTGGAGCACATGCCTAGATCCAGATCATGCTCTAGTGCGAGCGCGTATTTGCTTGCGTCTTACTGGAGATAGGAAAGATCCTGCAAGGAAACCTCTTAGGGCCCTACTTAATGATAGTCAAGCTAAGAGTATATTTCAGGAACAACTAGGAAAACAGTTAGGCAGCCATGTATGTGATACCCACCCCGAGGCAGCATGGAATGATATCCGAAAAGCTGTGGAAACAGCAGTGATATCTGCTAGTAAGGTAAACCAGAAGGTTAGGGAGCAACACTGGATCTCAGCAGCATCTATCTCAATGATAAATGCTCGGAAACACATTCCACCTGGCTCTGAACATAATGAAGAGCGGAGTCAGCTTAAGCGCAAGCTGACAAGAAGTCTACGCAATGATCGTGAACAGTGGTGGGTAGCGAAAGCAAGAGAGATGGAAAAGGCAGCGGCAATAGGTAATAGCATACAATTGTTTAGACTCGTTAAGGAAACCGGAATCAGGAACCCGACCGTTAGCGAAACAATCTCAGAGAAAGATGGACATATTATTCATTCTCAATCCAGGAGATTGGATCGATGGGCAGAACACTTTAGGGATCAGTTCAACTGGCCTTCAGCCACACTTCGGTTTCCCACGATCTCCAGTCAACCTGAATGGCAAGTTAATGTAAGTCCTCCGTCCCTTTACGAAGTTGAAAAAGCCATAGGAAATCTGAAACGAGGGAGAGCAGCAGGCCCTGACAGGTTTACTCCTGAGATTTTTAAGGATGGTGGTCCAGTATTAGCAGTGAGATTAACTGAGATCTTAGGTAGAATTTGGGAACTGGACGTAATCCCATCTGACTGGTCTCACTCACTGATTGTACCAGTCTATAAGAAAGGACAAAAGTCCTCTTGTGACAATCACAGAGGAATCAGTTTGACTAATATAGTGTCTAAAATATTAGCCTCAATAATACTTCGACGCCTAACTAAAGCTCGTGAAGAGCAGACTAGAGAAAACCAGGCTGGTTTTCGACCTGGACGTGGTTGTATAGATCAGATATTCACACTACGTCAGGTTCTAGAACACAGACACACATTCAGACGCCCCACAATGGTAGTATTTCTCGACCTTAAGGCGGCATTCGACTCTATTGATCGTGAGGTTCTATGGCAGTGTTTATCACTGAAAGGAGTACCAAAGAAGTACATTAACCTTATAAAGGCTCTCTACTCGAACACAACTGGTAGAGTGAGAGCTTATGGCGAACTGTCATCAGAATTGATCACCTCAAGTGGTGTTCGTCAGGGCTGTCCACTCTCCCCATTCTTGTTCAACTTTGTCATTGACGTACTTTTAGAGATAATACTCTCCTCATCTAAATTTACAGGGGTTGAACTTCTACCAGGAGGTTCACTTGTTGACTTAGAATATGCTGATGACATAGTTTTATTTGGTGAAGACGCTGACAAAATGCAGAGTCTTCTGACCACTCTAAGCAACAATGCAAGCATGTTCGGGATGCGATTCTCTCCCTCGAAATGCAAAATGTTGCTTCAGGATTGGGTTACATCGACACCCGAACCAGTGATAGGGAGTGAAGTAGTTGAGTGTGTCGACCGCTTCACTTATCTTGGAAGTCTCATCAGCCCTTGTGGTTTAGTGTGTGACGAAATCTCAGCACGGATACAGAAGGCTCGACTAGCTTTTGCCAACTTGCGTCATTTATGGCGTAGGCGAGATATCCGTCTATCAACCAAAGGACGTGTTTACTGCGCAGCAGTTCGTTCCGTCCTACTTTATGGCAGTGAAACATGGCCGGTAAGAGTAGAGGATATCCGTAGGTTACTAGTATTTGATCATAGGTGTCTTCGAAACATTGCTCATATATCATGGGACCATCGAGTAAGTAACACAGTTGTTAGGAAACGGGTACTAGGTAAGGATGGCAAATCAATTGATGAAGTAGTGAGACTTCATCAGTTGAGATGGCTGGGATACGTGTTACGTATGCCCAACGACCGACTGCCTCGACGTGCTATGTTCAGTGGTATAGGAGTAGGTTGGAAGAAAGCTAGGGGCGGCCAAACCAAAACATGGCACAAGTTCGTGAAGTCACTGACAAGTGAACTGAGTCATGTTGGTAGGTGTAGACTACCTGGTTGGGGACCGCGAGATGACAGCAACCGATGGTTAGAGACCCTGAATGACATGGCTCAAAATCGTTTGCAATGGCGCAGGTGCATCCACTCTCTGTGTTCTCCCAAATTCTAATCTTCTGAATTCTTCATGTCCCTTTTTTCCTCTTTCCAAATTTCTTTCACTGTATTATACTCTTTAAATAACATCTCCAAACCCTAATCTTCCCGATTACTGCTTATACTCTTATTACCTCTACCACTACGGGATTTGAATCGACAAATGTATCTCTGTACTAATGTGGTGTGGCAACTCGAACTGATGTACGTACGTACGAAGTTCTACGTTGTTACTGACTGACTGACTGACTTACTGTAACCTTCTTTTACTTTCTTCAAATAAAAAGTTGTTTCTTCCTTATCTGTAAGATTTCTTCTGATTTTACCTTTCCGTTTCCCACATCTTTACTATCATTATTATTACACTACCTTATACTAACCTGGTCGTTTTTGTTCTCTTCCCTTTTAACTCTCCTTACCTTCTTTTTTTTCTCTTCGAATTCTCATTGTTTTGTATGGTGCATATATATTTGGCTCCCTTTTGTACCAATATTTATGTGTTCGAATAAATAAATAAATAACATATTCCACAACTAATATTGGCCGGTGAATAAGTTTGTGAGTGTATTGACTGGAAGTGTAAAGTGAATGTTTGGTTTGGATTTAACTTGTGAGATAATAGTGATGATACGTAATCACTTTTAAAGGTTTATTGAAGTTGATATTTTAACAAGCACTTGCGGAACCATTTGTTTAAAAGCTACCAGCTCGATTAGTTTATTCTGATTTTTATTGTCAATAACAGTGCATTGTGGATAGTTTTTGATATACTGTGAGCTAGTAATATTAATTTATCTTATATATTTATTTGGGTATGTTTAACCATTTCCTTTTGTTTGACTGATTATATCATAATTTAAATGAATTGGTCCCTGTTTTTTAATGGGTTGTAATCAGTGCTTTTATGACCTGGCTTTATTGCAAACAATAATACATTTTATCTGCATTTACATATTTTAATTACCATCAAAAGTAATGCCGTCTTGAGAATTTGCCTTTGTTCCACTGGATAGGCTATGTGTTTGCTTTTAAACATGTATACTGATTATTTAGATGCCGATTTGTTTGTAAATTTGAAGAACTCCGTCTGGTAAACTGAATATGACTAAGTCATTGCTTTTCTTGTGTATGCACGGATTTTATGGGCTAGAGAACCGTGAATTCAAATTGATTTATACCCTTGTATGTGTGGTTGAATATCTTACTTAATAGAACAGATATTTAGCAAGTAGTTTCCACCTTTCACTTTTTTCTTTTTGATTTCTCATTCATTTTTATTTGTCTATGACGTAAAGTTTATTGTTTTTGTTGATAATTTACCTATCTAGTAGCTGTTTTTTATGCACCTACATCTACTTTTGATTAAATGTTTCCATATGCATGTTCAACACCTTGAAAGTATTTTATTCATATTTACATAGTTTAGGAAATCAAATAGCCATTTGTCAGAGGATTTTTGGTTAGGAATCAGTCGTTGAAAAGCAGTAATTATTGGCTAGTAAATCTTTGTTAGTAGATATAGAGGTGGAATTACATTGCTTCTAACTATTATAGTAGGATTATTCAAATTTTATTGCTTTCTTTTTGCTATCAGACATTTGCTTTTTTTCACTAGATTGGATCTTTCCAGATTTTTGTTTCTGGTTGTCGAGATGCTGACTATTGGCTTCGTCATTTCGATAATGAATCACTTCCTAAGCCTACAGCTTCAGAATTCCGATTTCAGTTTGAAAAACTTGTTATACTTGATTATCTAATTCGGAATACAGGTATACAATAATCACGTCAGGTTGTATTTCGACAAGATGTTTTTATCAATTAAACTTATTTCTCTTAATTCATATTGTTCAATGTTTAATCGTTGATAGTACTATTATTTCAGATCCTATTTTATTCGTCATGTTAATTTTATCTTTCTCTGGCGATATAATACGGCGACTTGGGCCAACACATACCGAATTCTGTGACTGACCAATTGACTCGATTTCAACCTATGTTTATCTATGATATCCAAGGTTGCAATAATGCCGAAAAAGCATGTACAAAAGTGATATTCCTTAATACTTTTATATTCGGTTGTCGTCTCCAATGACCAATCCACAGCTTTTTCCCAGTAACTTGAAGCATATTAATTGGTTACTAAGAAACTAATTCTTCCTATACGTTAGGATTTTATTGTATGCAGTCGAAGTTTAATGGATGAATTCAAGGTTTCACCTAGAGTTTTCGTCGGATAAAATCTGAAAGGTTTTCAAAAGAACGCTCTTGGTATGAGGTTGCTTGAAAAGCTGAATCCCATTCAGATTGTTACGTATTGCTTACATACCATTTCCAGATAAGATCTCATTGACCAATATGACAAATCAATTCAACTTGTTTTCTGATCACTTGAAGATCAAGTAGCTAACTATTATGGATTTAAAGTTGCTGGATTAGCATTAAGTAACTAGGTGGCAAGTGCACTTTGATTAGATCCTAGGTAATATACATTTATGCACTGTTCCACCCATGCGTCTACCAATTAGAATTTAAGTTATTTCAAGGATAATTGTTGCTAAAAGAGTACATTCTTACTTCAGAAACTTAGGCCATGCAAATGTAATCTTATTAGTAAACAAATCCGATACATTACTGTAACAGATTGACTGATTAATTCAGAAAAGCATCTGAAGAACATCAGAATTCGATTCTGACAAATCAATAGTAGTTTTCACATTTTTCAATGACTTGTTCCAAGTCATTACTAAATTCAGAGATAGAAAAGGCCATTATTTGATTTAACAATTACTGTTTAGGGTCAAAAACAGTACATCGATATGCTTGATAATTATGTATTTCTTTTGGAGTACATGTAAATTGGTGAAATGTTTTGATAACAACTGATTTTCCTGGTGGAAATTCATTATTCTTCTTAGTCATCTTGTTTAGTTCATATGCAATAGAGTTCAAAAACTTGTTCAAGTGATTTTAGAAACACTTACTATTAATTCGACATGTAGTTCTAGTTGGTTCGGAAAGTTAATGATGGAAAATACATGGTGATTTTATTTTCTTACAGCATTAGACTTTACAAGCTAAATAACATACTAGGAACTCTGGTGTACCAGGTATTAGTACAACTAAAAACAAGTTTCAAGACTCCCAACCAATCATTTTTAACTACTCAACAATACATGCACTATCATGTTGAGGTCCGAGTTACTGTTTGATAAATTGTGTACAAATTGTGGTACTCATATTAAGGCTGCAGTTGTGTATTGCATAACTGTAGGAGTGTGTTATGTGTTTATAGATGGTGTGCGTAAGGAATGTTTATTTCGTATTATTGGCTGGGCTAAAAATAAATAAAATCTTACCTACTTATTCTCTTTTAGATCGTGGGAATGATAACTGGCTTATTCGTTATCAAAGTTCAGAACTGAAGGAAGATACAGATGAGGTGAATTCATTGTAGCATGAGGTTCATTTCTTGTTTACGAATTATACTTAACCAGATTTGTTGATACTGTATGATAGTTTGTTTTGTGTTTATTTGTGAAAACAAGGCATTTCCCCCCCCCAAAGTGGTTGCCATATTTTTAAAGAAATGAGGTGTCCTCTTAAGTCTCACTTTCGCCTCACGTTATACGCTGTTTTTTCTTGGAATCCTCACTTATGCTAGTGGTTAGCTGTTCTTACTGCGTCTTGCTCTTTATCATCTAGTTTCAAGGAGAGTTTTCTGGTTGCATTTATTCCACTTCACATATATCGATTTAAGCAGATAAATGATATTTTTTAGTTATCGTATACCAACTGGCTCAAAACCAGCTACATGAGTCTATACTTCGTTATTGATAACTGTATGACTGCGAATACTAGACTTACTCAGCCTTATTTTAAGGTTAATAAATTTTCTCTGATTATAAATTAAATGTCTCTCTTTTGATTTAGACCAATAAAGATGATTGGGGTGTTGTTGATATGCCAAAAATAGAATTATTTGCAATCGATAACGGTTTGTCTTTTCCATTCAAACACCCAGATGAATGGAGAGCATGTAAGTTCAGCCTAGATGTTTTCACAATTGATGGTTAGTGTTTTAATTAATATATGATGTAGATATATTCGGTGTTCGATTGGAATTTTACTTTTCAGTTGAATTCAAGGGATTGTACTCCTATTCATTTCACCATCAGTGTGTATAAATTAGGTTCATACCCTAAGTAAAACAAAATGAATAAACCCCTTAAAAAATAGAGTTTTCAAATAATTTTTGTTTTTTTTATATGATGAGCAGCTAATTCTTGCTAACTTTTTCCAGTACTGAATTAGGATTTGATCTAACACAACTATCCCCTATACTACGAAATTGTATATCATAAACTAACCACTTTAATCCTTTGGATCCGTACAGATGGGGGCACACGCTAGTTAGTAGGATAGCCATTGAAGCGATTGACCTAAAATTAGTTTAAGCTACGTAAGCCAAAGCTTGTAGGATTACTTAGTGCTGCTACCCCACTAAAGCTGGTAATTTCAGGGGGGCAGTGGTGACTGGGCACAGTAAGCTGCTAAACACAATGAGTTTGGTATTGATAAGTTCCTTAGATGTAGTAGAAAACTGCCTCGACCAAATGATTGAATATCCAAAGTTCTAAGGCTAGATTAATATCTCAACTGTGTTAAAAGTGATTCAGCTTGGCCAATACAACTCTAGCTTCCATTTACCGAGAATCAATTATATCTAACAGAGATACGCGGATATGCAAAGTTGTAAGTATTTCTAAATTTCTATCACCAAATGAGAGAGGAGCTATACGTTCATATCATTCTTATAAAAGTGTACTTCTTTCCGATGATATGAGGTAGATATCACATTTACAGTATAATATGGGAGAAAGATGTAGTTCTTATACTGGAAATCTTTTTTCATATTTATTTCACCATCTATTTTCATTAAGCTTGTCTCCAGAATTCCCATATATGACGAAAATATTTATGAGTGCCAAAATTCTGCAATGTGTCGTGCATCCATTCCTTGTTCAAAACTAGTCGAGAAGTTACTGGGATTTTTGGTTCAATATGAAATATTTGAGTATGGAACGTTCAAACAAACTTCTATCTAACAAACACTTCAGTTCTATCTAGCGAATTGAAGGGTTCTCTAATGTCTATATATATATATATATATATATATATATATATATGACCGTGTTTGAGCATTTCAAGAGCTATGAAAAAATTCAGTTCGCTTCCTAAGGAATCAGTTTCTTCTACATTTTCCAATATCACATTTAAAAAGTGCCAAAAATGATTTGTCTTCATAGTGTTGTACAGTGCCTTATTATTGCTTATTACAGTTTCTTTTAAAATTTGTCTCTGCAGCTACATTTTTGGATTTTCCTAAACTCTTTTGACCCTGACGTATATAGTTCAGGAAAGATATTTGATTGGAAGTTGGATTATCCCAAATTTTTATAGGTAACATAATTTGTTAATCGGATTGTACTGAATCTGTCCGATCAATAAACTAATTGATTAGAGTTTACAGACGTTTCTATGCAAAAGTTCCTACTGGTTTTAAAAATTTTTATCAGAGATTATTAAACATATAGTACCACTAGTTTCAAGACCAAATACATACTGATGGTTGTTTATTAGATATTCCTCGTTAATTATTTTTTTCGTACTTACTATTTGGATTCATCCTATGAATCCGAAATCAGATCTGAAACATCTCCATTTTCTGATAAATGATTCTATAAATCGTTGTTCTCACTTTTTTCTATTTTATCCCTGTGAATATAATGTAAAAGATCGTCCTACTTTATTCTTTTTTAAAAATGCAGATCCTTTCTATTGGGCTTGGCTTCCTATGGCTAAAGAGCCATTTTCAGATGCGATTAAAGAAGCTGTTCTTCCATTATTATCTGACATGCACTTCATCAATAGTCTAGTTCGTGATCTTCATAATTTGTTCAAAGTAGGTTATTTTATTCTCTATGATATTTATTGATTGATAATCCTTTTCATAGATTTATTGACATAAATTCCTTTTGCAATTAATGAACTAGTTAATCAGTTTACATTGACGATGTTATGGCTGAAAGTAGGTACACATAAGTCATCTGACATTAATAAGTTGGTTTTTTTCTATTCTATTTTAAGAATATTTGTCAGTACAGAATTTAGAATATATTTTCATTTAAATAGATTTTGTCTTTTTTTGATCAAAACTTTTTCAGTACTATATATTAAAGGTTTTGCTCTGTTTATTGTTTTCCGAATAAATGGGCATCTCTGCTTATTAATATGTTAGATATGAGTTGATAATAATCGGGTGCTTTTTTCAAAGTACTAATGAGACCGTTTTTGTTAAAATACTTTTTTTTCTTTTCTAGCCTATAAAACTGATTGTTTCTTGGATTAAATTGAATATACATACATTCAAATGGTCTGATGCTATTACAGTAGGAGAAAGGGGCATTTTTCATTTGTTTAAGGCCTCTTTTTTCTTCGAAAAAAAAACATCTCATAGTTTTACAGTCAATAGTTTTGTAAGGTGTCCTTAGGAAAAACAATCTTAGTTACTGATTATTCACGATTATAGTGTTGCATAAAATTCTGTGCTTTTCAATTCATGATGTGAAGTGATGATTTTAATTAAGAAAACTTTACAAAACGCTTGTTTACTTTTTTTCTGACAACTAGTCAAGTATTAGGGAAAGATTTATGACCTTGTTAATTTAATAATACGCTATTTGTACTGCGTTGATGCTTAGGGAATGTAAAAATCTTGTTGGAATATTATTAAATTTGTTCAGATTTAGTACAAAGTAGTCAAAAAGCAGTTGAGTTTATCCCTGATACGCTTATTGTCTTTATTCTTTTCTGTATTAATTTGATTTGCGGTTTGAGTTATGTTCTTATGTGTTTATTTTTTCTCGAAATCCCCGTCGCCCATTGTAATGTTCTCATGGCTTGTTAAGACAAGCTGTAAGCCCATCTGACTGGTCACAGTCACTGATTGTCCCAATATATAAGAAGGGTTCAAAATCATCCTGTGATAACCATAGAGGATTATTTGATCAATATAGCATCTAAAATACTAGCCTCAATAATTATGGGATGCCTAGCAAAGAATTGTAAACTGCGAACACGAGAAAATCAGGCTGCTTTCAGACCTGATCGTGACTTCATCGACCACATATTCATCATTCGTCAGGTTCTAGAACATAGGTATGCTTATCGGCGTCCGACAATAGTGGTCTTTCTTGCCTTAAAAGCAGCATTTGACTCTGTATACCGAGAGGTTCTGTGGCAGTGTCTGTCATTGAAAGGTGTACCTCAGAAGTACATAAACCTTGTGAAGGCTCTTTAATCGAATACTACTAGTCGAGTCAGAGCTTATGGCGAACTGTCATCTGCTTTTGCAATCTCGAGTAGCGTCCGTCAAGACTGTCCACTATCTCCATGTTTGTTTAACTTCATCATAAACCTACTGTTGGAAATAACACTCTCGTCTACTGAATTTTCCGGCATCGATCTCCTACCAGGAGGTCCACTTATGGACTTAGAATACACAGATGATATAGTCCTGTTTGGTGAAGACGCTGTTAAAATACAGAGTGTTTTGGTAGTATTGATCAACAATGCCAGGATTTTCTGGATGCGCTTCTTTCCCTCTAAATGCAAGTTGTTGCTTCAGGACTGGTCTGCGTTAACACCTGAACTAAGGATAGGGAGTGAAGTAGTCGAACACGTTGACAACTTCACTTATCTTGGAAGTCTGATCAGCCCTAATAAGTTGGTTTCTGACGAAATCTCAGCACGTATTCAGAAAGCTCTTTTAACTTTTGCCTACTTACGTCATCTATGGCGAAGGCGAGATATTCGTCTATCAATAAAAGGACGAGTATACTGCGCGGCAGTTCGTTATGTTCTACTTTACGGCTGTGAAACGTGGCCATTAGGAGTAGAAGATATTCGTAGGCTACTAGTATTTGATTACAGATGTCTTAGTAACATTACTCGCATCTGCTGGTATCACCGGGTAAGTAATAGTTAGGTTAGATGCAGGGTGTTAAGGAATGATGGTAAATCAGTTGATGAAGTTGTGAATCTTCATCGACCGAGATGGTTGAATCACGTGTTGCGTATGCCTGAACACCGATTACCACGACGCGCAATGTTGACTAAGGTTGAGGATTGTTGGAAGAAAGTTAAGGGCGGCCAAACCAAAACGTGGCATCAGTGCTTGAAGTCAATAACTTCTAGTTTGAGCCGTGTCGATAGATGCAGACTACTTGGTTTGGGTCCGCGCGACTATCGTAACCAATGGTTGGAGACTTGGTGAATCGATCACAATGGAGTCGGTATATACACTCTCTGTCTTCCCTTAAACCAAGAGATTAAAATCGCTTCATATCTTTCTTTCTATGAACTAATTCTTTCTTCTTGTACTATATCCTTATGTGCAATCTTTCTTCTATGTATTACCACCATTGAATTAATTATTTCTATGAATTCGGTGTTCGTCTTGTTGTGCTAATGAGGCATGGCAACTTGAACCGATGCATATATGTGCCTGGTCCTACGTTGTAGCTGACTGATGGCTTGTTATTCGTCACGTGATACGATTGCCAATTAGAACACCGAATTACTGACTAGACCAATGACACATAAACCAGTACAAACAATCCAGAGTCAACTCTGAGTTCTTATTGGTCCACTAAGATAGCAGCCTAACCTATCCGGTTTAGTTCAGAACACCAATATCAGCTTCCCCTGTACGAATCATATATTTCAGTCATGCTTGGTTTATGTCTAAACAAACCAAACCACATCATACGATAAAATAGAAAATAACAATTACACAAGATCAGGCCGAAAAGTGGCTGTGATTGTGAGATACTGTAGCTAATAAATTCGGAATAACTTAAAGATTGTAAGTCGTATAGTAGTGGTCAACAGGTCAAATGGAAGCTTATAATAAGAGGAATATGAATATACATACGATATAGTTACTTAATAGTTATACAATAAGAATATGTATAATGTTGGTCCACAAATAGATCCCAGCGGTTACTACTCACCTGTTCTTCGTCCGAATATAACATATACATGTATCATACATTATTATTGTCATCATTATGTTATATTTACTAAGTATCATTCTTAAATCGTTGATTATCTGGATGTGAGAATGAGTATTAATTATGTGAATGCAAATTTCCAAACTTTCATATTGATAATAGTGATCTATCAACTCATTTACCACGTACAGATTCGTATAGTTGACTTCAAGTCATAATACGAGTGTGAAAACTAATGATATCCGGCTGCGCGAATTGATATATGTGGGGCAGGGTTCGAACTTTGGAATTAGGCGCTAAAAGTCGTACACCTTAGTCAATGAGCTACTCTTGTGATCCTGATAATAATGCTTCATTGGATGTCATCGTGACATAATTGCAAAATAGTCACTCAATGGCTTATTGATTTTACATTTAACTTTGATTACCCTTCGACGATTCTCAACGCACTTATGTAATAAATGCCAGTGAGGATAAAATTTCAATCCACCGTAATTTTCAGTTAATAAACTTAGCGACCTTATTGGAATTAGATTAACTCTAGGTGGCAGGTGATTAGTCAACATGTTATTGATTACTGACAACTGCACTTTATTAAATGCATATCATGTTAAGTACATTGGGATTTCCTGATAAGATTAATAATTTAAATAGTTCATAGGACGCTACTGACTATTATTATTATTATTAATATTATTATTATGACATGTAGGTGTCATTTTCGTTGTATATGAAGTTAATATATATCACTACGTTAAAATATATACCTAATTTTATCATTTGAACTTAACAGTATAAGTAAAATACAGATGATGAATCAAGTTTGTTTCAAACGAGTTTTAAAAATCATAAAATAATTGAATAAGAAATTGTAGGTCATTCGCTCGATATTGAGTCTGGGATAAGTGTATTTTGACCCAAGCTGTTACACCTAAAGCCAATAGAATGTCGGAAAATTAACAAGATAAAAAGCAAAAGAGTGTAACTAGTCATCGTAAATAGAGGATATGTAAAACTGGAATATTTATTACTGGTAATAAAGAAATAAACAGACTGAACAACCAATCTTAATGAGTTTTTTTTCGTAGTTTCTAACCATTGGTTGTAGTTTCCTTTTCAAACTCGACCAACAAATATGCAGCTTTTTTTATGACTAGAAAAATCAGTCATTGCCTCAATGGAGTTAACTCTTTTCATACTGTGCTGTCTCAACTTTTCCAATATTTTCCTTCGTTAATGAGCATAAACCACTAAGCTGGCCGATGGTTAGACATGCACATCATATTGTAATTCTGTTTAGTTTATGCAAGTTCACGATTTCATCAATATATTTTCACTTTTGTTACTGTACTGTATGCCTGATATCAATCTAACTCTCTTGATAGTCTCATTGTATTCACGAAATACATCAATGATAGCTATAATTGAATTCCTCCAACTGATGCATGTATTCTACCCAGATGAAACTGTGTTGTAGGTACTTAAAACAGTAAACGCTAAATTATTGTTCAGTATTCTTGCGCTCTGATAGGTAGTTAGATATTTATTTGTACACCTGGTGGTACAAGCTGTTGTTACAAATGTAAATGTAATGAAGCTTTGATTATATTTTTAGCATGGAACAAAACGGCGTTGTCACTGTTAAATAATTTCGTTTGATAATTATTATTCTCGGATCTTTGTAAGTTCATTAAAAATTTTTTGACAGGGTATTAAAAAATATTTTTTAAAATTTAGTTTACTTGGGACTCCTCAGCAGTGCGCATCTACGATCATTCTAGGATAAAACGGCCGTCCAGTGCTTCCAAGTTTTCAATAGTGGTTTTACTTAGATCGCTACATGATTTCGATGTAATTCAACAATATTTATAACCCCATACTGAAAATCATGTGATTGCAGTGAACGAGAACCAGGTGGGGAAAACCATAAATTAAATACCTCATTTGGAAATCTTCCATCAGTTGTTATTTAAAAACTTCACAGTTCCTTCATTCATGCTGTTATTAAAATTACTCTGTTTAAATTCCTGTTCTCTTCAATTTGGTCTTTTCAACCTTCTGCTCCCAAGCATCCCACTTCTGATTGGTGTTACATACTACTTATGTCTGTCAACATAAGTAGCATACACCACATGCTCGCTGGTGATTAGATTCAAGAGGAAATTTTCAGAGTTCTAGTGAAAATTTGTGACCAGTGGCTACTAATTCGTGTTAGATGTGAGGCCGTTGCCCACCGAAGACGGTGAAAGATGGTCGTGCGATGTTGTGGATTGAAGTTAGACATTAACACCGTTAAGTGCCGACTTATTAGTCTAGAGGTCAAGCGTTCGCGCGCTGTACTGAATGTCTTGGGTTTGATTCTCACGTTCGGGATCGTAGATGCCCATTGGCGAGGAGTCACATATCGGGATGAAATGTCATCCCAGTGCTTTCAGGTTTTCAATGATTACCTAACCTTGGTCGGTTCATGATTTCAGTATTTTATGTTTTAGTTTACTCTAGTAATTTAAATATTTGTCAACTACTAATGTAATCTAAAGTTCTGTTTCCGTAATATACTTTCGGTTGTTATTACATATAAATCTTCAATTCAATATGCATTTTAGGTGGATCCAGGTTTCGACTTATCTACTTTTCATAAACAAATGTCCGTTTTACGTGGTCAGGTTAGTTAACTGATGATTGATTATTTATTAAAATTTGTATTTAGTGGTTCAGTTTAAGTTGAATTTGAAAAAGTCACCATAAATTGTGTTGACTGAAGATTTCTATAACATTGTTTCTCTTATGTTATAATATGAATGGGAAAATGCTAAATTATGAGTGCATTTCTTCATCTTCTTCCTCTTCTCTTTGTTTTGTCATGCAATATAATTATTAAGATTATGGAATTCGTTCATCTAAAAACTACTGACTTTTTATTTCATTCAATAAAACTTCATTTTCTATTGACAAATTAGTTTTTCTGTTGTTGCATATTTTGTCAAATCATTGAGAATCCTAAATACTTATAATTCATGTATGGTAATTGTGTAGTCTCATTTGTATTTTGTATTTTAATAGCATGATATTGACAGAGTCAATTGTCATTATATTAACTTATTCCATTATTTTAATTGACAGAAATTTTATGAAGAAAAAAATGACACCATCATTCAATTTTATTTAAGACTTTAGGTGTTCTAGTAGTAGTATTTACGTGTCTATGCTGTTATTTCAGTCATTAGCCTTTGAAAACACATTTTTCGACAAACATTTTTTGAAGTGAACAGGGTCTGTTTGTTTAAACAATGTCAATGTTTATTCCAAGTAAAAGGATGTGCGTTACTGTAGGTTGTTTTCTGGAATTTACAAAAATCTTTGTTCGTGCACGCGTATTTTAAATCTATTTTGAAGTTATAAGGGATTTTTGTCACAATGTGTCGACAATTCACTAAAGATATAATTGCACTAGTTTGTAGACTGCTGAAATGGTTCTAAAATTTCAGAAAAATCATATGGTGACACACTGATAAGCGATTATCAGAAGTAAAATTACTGATTAATTGGATGTTATAACCGCTAAATTTCACGTCTAATTAGGTTATTGGAGGTAGTCGACAGGAAACCCTTCTAGACTCAGGTTTCATACTAGTTGGGATTCATTAGCAAGGCGGGAACTGATGTTCTGTGTTGAATCCGGATCAACATCACACAGCTGCATAGCTTGAGATATCACCACTAAGCTACTCTGACTGCGATTGGTCTCTTATAAGACTGAAATATTCACAATTGATTGATAGAATTCTATCATCAGTAAAGAACTAAACAAATATAATGTTGAGTTCACTTGGTATTGTTTTGCTTGTATCTTCCCATTGAGGTTTAAGACTGCAATTGATCAGTCTGTTATTGGCATATGTGCATACTGTGCGTATGCCTCAATATTGCCGTAATTCACAAGCTTTTATAAGCAAGATACAAGCAAAACAATACCAAGTGAATTTAAATTCACCCCACTGCACAAGCAAGTGGCTATCAGGACTCAGTAGCTGAGTGGATAACGCGATGGCGCTTGAAGCGAACGGTACCGGGTACTAGTCTCAGAGTGAACATCAGCTCTGAGGTGCAGGTACATTGGACTGACGAGTCTCAAATAGGACGAAACGCTCATCCTGGATTCCACTGCTAGCCACTATCCATCTTTGCTTATAAATATAATATTGGTCAATACTCTATCATCAATCAGTTTTAAATATTCAATCACACTTTGATGACTTCAGTTGTTTATTATTTCTATGTTATTCTACTCTATTCTGATTATCCACTCAGTCTTCACGTTTTTTCAGTGTAAAATTCGTCCGAAGTTATAAATATTTAAATGTAGACACTGATTACTGGAAAACCTATATAAAGAGTTATTTTACCGATAAAATATATATAATTCAGTCACAGGGCAGGCTTTGTCTCAATATTTAGAGACTGGGTCAAGAGTATTCAGAACACAGTATTGAAGATGTGTTCACCCTTGTAATATATTTTGGGTTATGTCAGTCTCGTCTAGTGTACAAGTTTCGTTTCACGTTATAACAATTTTCGTAAAAAGTAGCAACTGGTTTTTAAGAAGCAATGTCACTTGAAACATTGGAAATTAACATTTCAACAATAAATAAAGTTAACGGGAGCTTTCATGAAGCCTCTATCTGCTACAACATTGAGTCAGCCTTCTATACGCTACACTACATTACCAACAGAACCCGATCGAAGCTGCTACCTTGACGCGGTGGTCGGGCTTGCCTATCGTGATGACCCAACCGAGCTATATTGGCTGGAACATATGTTCCTGAAGGTTCTACCATGCCAGGCAGGTCGATTGGTGAACGGTAAGACTAAAAGCAGCAACTCAAGGTCTGAGGGCGAAGTCGTACTGCTGACTGTAGAGAGGTGTGACAGCAGTAAGGTGTTTCCCTCGGACAACCAGCATGACAGCGATGCTGCCTTCCCACAAGGAGGGGTGGGGTTAGAAAAGGTCGACCCTAAAAATGCACACCTCACCTTACCTCACGGATTTCCGTCTCCGGCGGTAAGGCCCCTTGAAGAACAGAGCTAACACGTCAAAAACCTTCCACAAAAAGGCCGTGCACGACCGGCCTCAAGCAGTTGTCCCTTGGGCTCTGCGGTCACGCTCCCAGGTCGTCAAGACCAACACTAATCCAATTTCCTTTTCAGGTTCATCAAGAAATACCCTTCCACGGTGTGGGCAGCCGGGAAGTGACATCAGCCCTCATACCCGTAACAGCACAAGAGACCAAGGTGGTCACATTCAAATCCTTCCTACACCTCCTAATACCTCTCTTATCCTCCCGACTAACCCTCCTCACGTCTCTTTATCACCTCGCACCGCTAGGGCAAACGATTCGAGTACGTGGAACGCCATCCCTGGTCTCCTGAAACCACGCTCTAAACTACACGTAGGAGCTTTTAACGTACGATTACTTTGCCAAATAGGACAGCAGGCTTCCTTAGCTAAAACTTTAGGATCTCGCGCCATAGATGTGTGCTGCGTCTCCGAAACGCGCATACAGGACCCAAGTAGCGTCATTCATTTGACCTCACCATGCCAAAATAAAGAACCAACTCGATTTACGCTTCGTGTATCTGGAAGCCCTGATTCTGCTTCCCGTGGCCTCGCCGGCGTAGGTATAGCATTGAGTCCTAGGGCAGAACTAGCTCTCTTAGAGTGGATCCCAGTAAACAGTCGTTTATGCGCTGTCCGACTGAACGGAACAGTAAGAATCCGGAAAGATAGGGACACTCGTCGTTGCCTCTTCGTCGTCTCTGCCTATTCTCCCACTGACTGCAGCTCAGATGATGTAAAAGATGAGTTTTACAGAAAGCTTTCGGACCTTCTCCGAAAAGCTAAGCGCTCGGATGTAGTAATAGTGGCCGGTGACTTTAATGCTCAAGTAGGTAAACTAAGCGATAAAGAAAGACACCTGGGTGGATCCTATGGTGTCGTGGCTCAAAGAACAGATAATGGCGACCGTCTGTTGCAGCTATGCTCAGATAACCGCCTGTTCCTTGCAAATACTAACTTTAAGCATAAGGAAAAACATCCTTTAACATGGCGACCCCCTAATTCGTCCCAACGTTGGACCCAAATATATCACATCGCTATCAGCCACCGATGGAGGGGCTCGATAGAAGACTGTCGCTCATTCTGGAGCACATGCCTAGATTCAGATCATGCTCTATTGCGAGCGCGTATTTGCTTGCGTCTTACTGGACATAGGAAAGATCCTGCAAGGAAACCTCTTAGGGCCCTACTTAATGATAGTCAAGCTAAGAGTATATTTCAGGAACAACTAGGAAAACAGTTAGGCAGCCATGTATGTGATACCCACCCCGAGGCAGCATGGAATGATATCCGAAAAGCTGTGGAAACAGCAGTGATATCTGCTAGTAAGGTAAACCAGAAGGTTAGGGAGCAACACTGGATCTCAGCAGCATCTATCTCAATTATAAATGCTCGGAAACACATTCCACCTGGCTCTGAACATAATGAAGAGCGGAGTCAGCTTAAGCGCAAGCTGACAAGAAGTCTACGCAATGATCGTGAACAGTGGTGGGTAGCGAAAGCAAGAGAGATGGAAAAGGCAGCGGCAATAGGTAATAGCATACAATTGTTTAGACTCGTTAAGGAAACCGGAATCAGGAACCCGACCGTTAGCGAAACAATCTCAGAGAAAGATGGACATATTATTCATTCTCAATCCAGGAGATTGGATCGATGGGCAGAACGCTTTAGGGATCAGTTCAACTGGCCTTCAGCCACACTTCGGTTTCCCACGATCTCCAGTCAACCTGAATGGCAAGTTAATGTAAGTCCTCCGTCCCTTTACGAAGTTGAAAAAGCCATAGGAAATCTGAAACGAGGGAGAGCAGCAGGCCCTGACAGGTTTACCCCTGAGATTTTTAAGGATGGTGGTGCAGTATTAGCAATGAGATTAACCGAGGTCTTAGGTAGAATTTGGGAACTGGACGTAATCCCATCTGACTGGTCTCAATCACTGATTGTGCCAGTTTTTAAGAAAGGACAAAAGTCCTCTTGTGACAATCACAGAGGAATCAGTTTGACTAATATAGTGTGTAAAATATTAGCCTCAATAATACTTCGACGCCTAACTAAAGCTCGTGAAGAGCAGACTAGAGAAAACCAGGCTGGTTTTCGACCTGGACGTGGTTGTATAGATCAGATATTCACACTACGTCAGGTTCTAGAACACAGACACACATTCAGACGCCCCACAATGGTAGTATTTCTTGACCTTAAGGTGGCATTCGACTCTGTTGATCGTGAGGTTCTATGGCAGTGTTTGTCACTGAAAGGAGTACCAAAGAAGTACATTAACCTTATACAGGCTCTCTACTCGAACACAACTGGTAGAGTGAGAGCTTATGGCGAACTGTCATCAGAATTGATCACCTCAAGTGGTGTTCGTCAGGGCTGTCCACTCTCCCCATTCTTGTTCAACTTTGTCATTGACGTACTTTTAGAGATAATACTCTCCTCATCTAAATTTACAGGGGTTGAACTTCTACCAGGAGGTTCACTTGTTGACTTAGAATATGCTGATGACATAGTTTTATTTGGTGAAGACGCTGACAAAATGCAGGGTCTTCTGACCACTCTAAGCAACAATGCAAGCATGTTCGGGATGCGATTCTCTCCCTCGAAATGCAAAATGTTGCTTCAGGATTGGGTTACATCGACACCCGAACCAGTGATAGGGAGTGAAGTAGTTGAGTGTGTCGACCGCTTCACTTATCTTGGAAGTCTCATCAGCCCTTGTGGTTTGGTGTGTGACGAAATCTCAGCACGGATACAGAAGGCTCGACTAGCTTTTGCCAACTTGCGTCATTTATGGCGTAGGCGAGATATCCGTCTATCAACCAAAGGACGTGTTTACTGCGCAGCAGTTCGTTCCGTCCTACTTTATGGCAGTGAAACATGGCCGGTAAGAGTAGAGGATATCCGTAGGTTACTAGTATTTGATCATAGGTGTCTTCGAAACATTGCTCATATATCATGGGACCATCGAGTAAGTAACACAGTTGTTAGGAAACGGGTACTAGGTAAGGATGGCAAATCAATTGATGAAGTAGTGAGACTTCATCAGTTGAGATGGCTGGGATACGTGTTACGTATGCCCAACGACCGACTGCCTCGACGTGCTATGTTCAGTGGTATAGGAGTAGGTTGGAAGAAAGCTAGGGGCGGCCAAACCAAAACATGGCACAAGTTCGTGAAGTCACTGACAAGTGAACTGAGTCATGTTGGTAGGTGTAGACTACCTGGTTGGGGACCGCGAGATGACAGCAACCGATGGTTAGAGACCCTGAATGACATGGCTCAAAATCGTTTGCAATGGCGCAGGTGCATCCACTCTCTGTGTTCTCCCAAATTCTAATCTTCTGAATTCTTCATGTCCCTTTTTTCCTCTTTCCAAATTTCTTTCACTGTATTATACTCTTTAAATAACATCTCCAAACCCTAATCTTCCTGATTACTGCTTATACTCTTATTACCTCTACCACTACGGGATTTGAATCGACAAATGTATCTCTGTACTAATGTGGTGTGGCAACTCGAACTGATGTACGTACGTACGAAGTTCTACGTTGTTACTGACTGTCTGAACAGAACAAATCTTTAATTATATGTCGTAATTTTTCTTTGGTCCTATTTTTTAAAGTTGCTTTTGATTCTTGATCCAAGTTTTGTGAAAATTTGTTCCGCGTTGACCTTACTCAACAAGTTGAGGCATAGGAAATATGACTACTGCTACTTAAAGTTGGTACCAGAAAACATGAAAAATTCCGTATTGCCATACTGGCCACGTTATCATAATTATAAAAAATTAGTAAAGTTGTTGTCCCAAATTTTTGGACACTAGTTTTGGTTTTTGTAAATTCACGATGTCAATGTATAATGCTGACGAAACCCAAAACTTGTAACTGTTAGCGGAGAATGTGGACATTTTCGGTTGTAATTTCATACAGACGACAAATTTGTGTCTTTTTTGCCTGTCGACTGAAATCGATAAAAGATGTTGATATCCACTTATGTTCTCGAAGTAAAAATAACCACGTCCCTCTGATAACCCAAAGATAGTTATTGCGGAATGTCAACAACCGCATGGCAACTATGTAGCAGTTGGAACAATCCAGTGCAGTGCTCACGTTTGGAATTTCGAAATAATCACCCTCGTCTTGCATAGAAAAACGGAGGTTATAAAATGTTTATAATAAGTCTAACGACAGGTATGTGTCCAGTTGGGTAGTTCTGAATATAGCGAATTTAATCTCATGCGTTCCATCGCTATCATTAAGCAGTGAATTTATTCTTAGAATTTCATCACGTTTATTCACAGATATTTATTTGATTTCATTACAGGTTGTGAATTTAGTCGCAGCTCTACGGGATTCAAAAAGCCCGTACGATCTTGTACGAATGCCAGTACTAACTTTAGAGTTGTCCACTAAAAAGCGTTCTACAAGACATAATTGGCCACATCGACGGTTAGCAGCTGGTTTCGCTCAAAATGAAAATGTACCTGAAATTTCTACATATCGCAATAATTATAATAATCTTACAATTGATGTCAATCCTACAAATAGTGTACAGACTAATCAAGATTCAGTATTCACTGAAAATCAGACAAATAACTTAGTCGATTGTGATAATATAATAAATCTTGATAGCTGTCAACCAGATGTAAATTCAAGACATACACATGAGATTGATATTGTTTCTACTGCTACTGGTAGTGGAGGTGTTAATGACGATGATGATGATGCATTGGAGCATGGACTAGTTGCTTTACCAACTTTTAGAAGTAAACAAATTATGTTGAATAATAATAATGACAGTAAACAGACTGAAGTGGATCTAGCCGACAGTGCTGGTGATGATGCTGATGAAAATGATGAACAGCGCTTCAATTTACGTTATTACAAAAAACCTTTTTTCACTTGGTTTTAAAAATCTATTCTTTCCCTCGTTTATCCATTCACTAATTTTGATGTTGTGTAAACAAAAGAATACATATATTTGTCTTTCTTTTTCTAATTATTGACACATTAAAATTGTGTTGACAATCAGAAAAGAGAAAAAATGATTTCCAACATTAAGTTGTGACATTTTTATGGTAACTAATGATAATATATCTTTTATTAATTTGTATAATCCAAATTCTAACTTTCTAAATCCCTTTAATGTATTATTAATTTGTAGTGGTTCACTCCTCTGTTTATCCATACCCCTTTTAAATACCCTTTTCAACTTAATTTTTTCTTCCGGAACTTTGTACAGTTTTGATTATATATATATATATATATATATATATATATATATTTGACAACGATCAGATGTAAGTCATTGTTGAGTTGAATAACTTGAATACATTAAAAATCTATGTGGTGTACATGGTAGTCGGATAAACTTCAGTGAACTTCAGCGTCTTACTTGTTTCCAATTTATGCAGTTTCGCTAACTCCCTTCAATGGAATGTATTTTGTTTTGTAAGGCTTTTTTCTTTGGCTGCAGAATTTTACAATTTAAGTATGGAATTTCCATAAATTAGATTTATTGAGCTTAATAATTAACTAGTTTAGGCTTAAAGAATTGTTTATTTAATTGACGATAAAAGTTTGCGTGGGTTTAATCCTCTTGAGAATCTTTCACTGTCATGAGGTAGTATTTGTATGCTTGTTTCCATCCTGTCTTATGCAATTTCGAGTCAAAGATCACTTAATTGACGTGAATCTTAAAATCTTTAGACAAGAATATTAGGCTAATTCATTTAGTCAATGAATATTTGACTAAGATTTATTGGAACGTGTTCCTTTTTCCGGGTGATAGTTGGTGTTGTTGAAATTACATAAAGTAATAGAACTCAAAAAGTGATCAGTCCATGTTACGATGTTACAGTACTGAAAGAAACTCATGTAGATATCATAAAAGGAACTAGAGGAAAGTTCTTTTGAATGGCTAGTAAATTGTACTCAACGGTAAGATGTTCATTACCTATAGGAAGATAAAAAATGACTATCTTTATCACAGTAACAGATTTTGAGTCATAATAGTTAGATTTCTTGACTTCTTTTGTTACTTAGCAAAGATTTTCGGAACTCACACCCAAGAACTTATGACGTCATTGATTAGTACTATACCTTTGGTCACTTCACTCTTAGCTCTCTTCAACCTTTGTATGAATAACCCATTGAGGCACGCTAGTGATTAAAAATATTTGATATTGGCTTGATTACGTTAGTTAAAGGGAATCCATCTAATCTAAATACCTTTTATAAGAATCTACCACTAACACAGCATTATCTTGCATATAACTATAACTGAGTACTATCGTACTGTCTTTCCGTATAAGTGGTAATTTTCTATGTCTGTAAGATTAACAACAATTATTCCTGTTCAGTTTAAGTGTTCTGGGATAGGTACTTTAATATCTTGCATACAATAAAGTTGACATACATTTGTCAAAGGTGAAAAAGTTGCCCAATTATGCCTGCTCGCCTGTTATTTGAACACATGGATATAAGCTATTGGTCATGGTTATGAGTTCGGAATATCAAAATAATTCATAAACTATGGGTTCTATGTCCTTTTTTCACTTTTGTGTCATGCAAACCATAAACTATTATCTGTTGTATTCTATATTACTCATGCTTGTCCTGTGCCTGTGGGATGTATTTCACTTAACAATTTGCCTAACATAAATATCGTCATATAACCAAACGTTACTCAAATAAACTTGATTCTGCAAGTATATTCAATTCATTCAAGTTGTTGAGATTTAAAACTGGACTGTATAATTGGAAAAGCGAGATAGATTTTGACGATGTTTTTTTTGCAAATTTCATTGTAAATATATGTATATGGTAAGGATCAATTGTGAATAATTTTAGTCTATAGTAATCAGTTACTCCAACTATAATCTGTTTTAATTATATTGTTAATTTCATATCGTAGTGAACGAACACTCAAGTGGGGAAAACCAATTTATTCTTCAACGCAAAATTACAGAGTTCTTCCGCAAAATAAGGAAACCATATATAAGGTACTTCATTTGCGAATCCTCCACGAACTTTCCTTTACATTCTTCATGATTCTTACATTTCTCAATTCCTTGATGTTTCCTTGTGTTTTCTTCAGTTCAATCTGTTCAACCTTCTGTTGCCAGGCATTTTACTTCTGATTGGTATTGCACAATACTTACGTCGACAGACATAAGTAGCATGCACCACAGTATCTTTTGTAAGATTGATGAAATATTTTATTCACCAACAACTAGAGATACGTTATTTTTTAATGTCATGATGTTCTCATGGCGAAAAAGTAACACTTTTCATACTATGAGTTTTAAGCTTACAGTTTAGTTATCTTCCACTGACTGACATTTATTTATGATTCAGTATTATGTACTTTAAGGATTCATTTGCAAAAGTTTACGAATCAACATTTTTTGCTTTCAGTCATGAATCACAGTTGAAGTCGGGGTGTGAAATTTCTGCTTATAAACTACACTACTTAATTATTTTCGAGTAAAACAGCGCATTTTATTTTAAAAGAAAATGGCTACTTGTTGACATTGGGAGGTGTGCCATCAGTAACTCGACAAGATCGCTGAGCCATAAATCAGAAAGAATAAGGTAAAAATTGCTGGGTTAAAGTTAGAGTTAAGGAGATAGTTACATAATGGATCTACTTGATTTAAAATTCTCACTATTCAGCTTGAGTGGTTTATGCTTGGGAGTCTATGGAGTAGGACTAACGTCCCCATCTTATTGAATTCAAGGAACAGTTGCTAAGCAAGGAGAATGTGTATTTGATTGGACTTCAGTTAGTTTTACTGTTATTACTGATATTAATTTCTTTTGGTCTTTTACAGTCCTGGTATCCATAAATTTATCATTTCTAGAAATTTTGGTAATAATGCCTTAAATTGTAGAGATTAACTGCACGTTTGTGAGTAATATCATCTAAGTACTTTTTGAGGAATGTTTATTGAATAGAGCGATATCTTATTTCCCTAAGAGTATCTGTCCTATTTACATTTTCAGACAACAGAGTCAATTGAACTCCACTAGTCACTGCTTTTTAAACAGAGAATAATAGTGTTACATTAATGATTTTCTTGATAGCTTTTTTCACAATTCTGTTTAAAAGTGTTCATATCAAGAATGGTTCATTGAAAAAAAACGTTATTTCTTTTTTTTTTCTAAAAATAAAAGAAAATTTTTTTCAATTTATTCAGTAGGTAAGTAAAAACATGAAAATCACAATTAAAATAATAGAAATAAAAAAATATTATGTAACATCTCAGATAATAGATAAGTTCTCAGAAAGAATAGAAAAGTAATTAAAGACTGTTTGAATGTTCATTATATTTCCACTTGATTGAATACAATAATATTTTTAATTGTTATTGTAGACAGTTAACTATTGAAATCATACTACTTATTAACATCCTGTAATCTATTCATTTACATAGATTTTTTTTTAAAAATTTTGTTTTGGTCAAATTCATTCATAATTATAGTAGTTTAATAAGATTAAATCTTTAATTAGAAAATAATAATGATATGTAATGGAATATCTGAATAGAATAATTCACTTTAACAAGATTGTATAAATGTTTGGGTGATAAGTAACAAGAAACTAAGGATATTATTTTAAAATTTTCAGGCAATATAATATTAGTGAATTGTGTTAATTTGATTTATGTAATTTGATTTTTGACTCTATCTGACTTAATGAACTACTTTTCAAAGTTTGTATTTAATTGACATTGAATATTAAGTTTTTGATGAAGATTATGAACTGATTGATGTTAGACCACCGTTGGAAACCTGGAAGCACTGGACGGCCGTTACGTCCTATTGTGGGACTGCAGTACTTAATTACGTAATGGGTTTAAATTACTTACATGAGAGGGTTTAGTTGGAAATTATGTTGAAGACATATTAGTATAGTATAGCAAGGGCGTAAATAAATTTAACAGACCGTTTTTAATTTAATACACCCTTGCTATAATATACTGATATGTCTTCAATATAACTTCCAATCAAACTCTTTCATGTAAGTAATTTAAACCCATTATGTAATTATGATTTTAAATATCGCAGATTGTAAGCAGCTGAAGAGAACCAACGAAATGAAATAAATTCATACTATTATGTTAGAATGCTTGTTTTTGCTCTTTTCAGAAGAAAATTTTCTTTTCAACGAAATCATTTACATAAAATATGCATTCGTATAAATATTTATATGGAAAATATTTGTCTATAGAAGGATAGAAAAGTTTGCATCATAAAATAGATTCGAGATCATTATGTTTGTCGTTTTTTCTTCATATCTGTCAATTGGACAATTATCTGACACGTAAATTATTTTCTTCCTTACCTTTTGATTAGTATGTAGCCTAATTTGTTATTTAGTCTCTAATCCATTTTATGATGCAATCTTTCCTATCCTCCTATAGACATATATTTTCCATATATATATATATATATATATATATATATATATATATATATATATATATATATATGAATGTACAGCTTAAGTAAAGGATTTCGTCGAAAAGAAGATTTTCTTTGCTGAATTCTCTTTCTCTTATACAATGACACTTACTGTTTTCTTCAAAATTTTGCAATCTGATAAAATATCAAGTGATGAGGAGTAAATGTACATGATTTTTATTTACATACTGTTAAGTAAATGAGTTTGATGTTTACATAATGAATAATTAGGGAGTATATGAGAATATATTATTAAAACTAAATGTGTAATATTCAGTAATTCATTTCCATCTTGCTTCGTTTGTTTTTTATGTTATAAAGTGAGCTTCTACTAAGTAAATTTAAGTAGTGTTCGAATGAAAAACTTTTAACGT